GCGCTACCGCTTGAGCCACATCCCCAGGCCTGATAATAAATTATTAAAAAGGTACACCAGGGGACTTGAGAGAATAATGTATCATCGAACATTCATATCATAGGATGTGGTATGGCCATTTACAATTAAAGTGGTGGAAGGAAATTTAGCAATATGGAAAGATGAACACCACAGTTTATTATGTGAAGAAATCCGGTTACAGTGAGATCTTATTTTTGAAAATTAACAGAAAGTATCTATGCATAAAAATACCAGATGATGTGTACATCAAAAATGTCCTGTCTAGGCTGAGGATGTGGCTCAGTGGCAGAGCACTTATCTAATGTGTACACGTTCCTGGGTTCAATCTCAAAAAAAAAAAAAAAATCTGCAATCTGAAATTTAAAAAAAAGTCATATTCCCTGGGTGATGGGGTTGGAAGTGTTTACTTTTCATCTATATTTTCTGAAATTTTGTAAAATTAACATGATTCAACTTTACTTTTGCAAAAGTATTTTTTATTCTGCTATTCATCAAAATCACCCTCTTCTCTGTTCATCTGATCTACACTTTTCCTTTTCTATTTCTAAAAGTCATTGTTGTTTCTGTATAATCCAGCGTACAGCCAGATACTGTCTTGTGTTGTTATGAGATTTTTTCATTCACTAAAAAGAGCTTTCTCTGGGGAAACTGTAAGTTATTTTCTCATTTTCTTTAAATTGGCCCTCTTCCCAAAGCTGGTATGTTGGTACTGGATCCTCAAGGTAACAACAAGCTACCTGGCTTTCTGGAAAGGCTCTGGCTCTAGGAGGCCACCAAACACCCACAGCTCTCCTGAGTATGGTGAGCCCCCACAAAGTGACCCAGGTATCCAGTCACTGGCACTCTAGACTGCAGCCCTGTCAAGTATTCTGCATCTATCTCCTCTAATGACTTGGACCAAGAGACCTGCAGAACCTAATGCCTCCTCCTACCTCACCCCCATTCCAAACTAGATGTCCTCTGGTAGCTAGAGCATAATTGGAGGTTGGAAGGTCACTCTGGATTCATTTCTCATTTGTGATCAGTGGTAGGGCTGAGCGGGTATTTATTTATTTAGTACTGTAGATTTAATCTAGGGGGCTTTACCACTGAGCTTCATCCCCAGCCTTTTTTTTTTTTTTTTTTTTTTGAGACAGTCTCACTAAGGCACATACGGCCTTGCTAAATTGTGGGGACTGGCCTTGAACTTATGATCCTCCTGCCTCAGCTTCCTGAGTTTCTGGGATTACAGGTGTGAACTACTGTGCAGAGCCTGAGGGGGTCTTCAACAGCTACCATTCTTTCAAAAATTACCCCATGCTAGACATAGTGGCACATGCTTGTAATCCCAGAGGCTCGGGAGGCTGAGGCAGGAGGATCTCTAGTTCAAAGCTACCCTCAGCAATTTAGTGAGGCCCTAAGCAACTCAGTGAGACCCTGTCTCTAAATAAAATACAAAAAAGGCTGGAGATGTGGCTTATTGATTCAGTGCCCCTGGGTTTAATCTCTAGTACAAAAAAAAATTTTCTCCATATCCTCCTTTTGAAAAATGAACTTTATTGCCATGGTGCCTATTTTGTGCTGGATACTAAGCCAAACAGTAGTTCTGTGAAGTCGACTGCAAGAACATGGTCTGGAGAATCATCCTTTGTTCTCCTGCCTAGTCCACACCCGGAGGCAGCTTCCCACGTACATTTTTTACTTGCAGACCCTCTGAAATTGCCTCTACAGTGGTATCACACTTTTTTTTTTTTTCTCCACAGGGATCCAAACTCCAGTATCACCGTTCAACACTATTCACATCTTTCCTTTCCATCACCAAATCAGATGGGCAGCCTAGCTTACTGGAATAAAGTTGAGAATAGGAGCCCCTGCAGTTTCCTTGACAGTTTTTTTTTTTTTTCCAAGTGCTTTCAGACATGATTCTCCATAGATACTTGAAGGGCTGTCAGATGGAAGGAGGACAAGATTTATTCTGTAACCAAATCCTATTGCTTCTACAACCCTAACACGGCTCCAGTCTCCTTGCCAGTCCTGGCCCAGACCACCATGCAGTTGCCTGGATTAGTGCAGCAGCCTTCTAACCTGCCTGCCCAGTCTTGCTCCTCTAATCCTTTCTCCAGAGAGCCTAAGTGATCTGTTTAAATGGCAAATCTGATCACACCCTGCGTCTGCTTAAACCCCTGTAATGCTTCTGCATCGCCTTCAGGATAAACCCTGAACTCCTTAGCATTGCTTTAAGACCCAGCACCTGCTTAGCTGTCTAGCTGCAAGCCTTGCCCACATTGTTTCAGTCCTACTGAACCACTTGCCCACAGGACCTTGAACACTTCTTATTGTCCCACTTCCAGGTCGTTTACTAGAACATCTCTCCTCCCCTCTTCATCTCATTGGATGTCACCAGAAATGTCACCTTTTCCAAAAGCTGTCACCCAAGGCTGGGTTGGTATCCCCCTCTAAGTGTATCCTAGGTCTATCCCATCATTTGTCTCATCGTTTGATCTTATAACTGCCTGTTTACATGTATCTTTCTTTTTTTTTAGTTCCCCTTCCCCACCTATGGGCATTTCTCTTTTTTAAATTTTTTAATATTAATTTTTTTTAGTTTTCGGCGGACACAACATCTTTGTTTGTATGTGGTGCTGAGGACTGAACCTGGGCCACACGCATGCCAGGCGAGCGCGCTACTGCTTAAGCCACATCCCCAGCCCCTACATGTATCTTTCTTTCCAGACAATAAGCTCCCTGAGGGCCAGGATTGCTTTATTTATCATTGTATCCCCAACTCTAGTACCTGACCCCGAGACCTCAGTAGTTACTGAATGAGTGAGCAGATGACATAACAAGGAGGATAGGTGGGAGTTTCAGGGGCTAGATGCCTGTTCTGTGTCCTGAAGAACTTGCTAGTAACTATGGTAGCCAGAAAAGGGACAGCCTGACTCACATAAATGTGAAAGCCCCACCTCTGAAGGTCTCCAGGAAGAGCCCTGGTGGACATCAGCAGGAAGCTTCTTCAGTAACCTGCATGTTGGGGATCACGCCTCAGCTCACTTCCTATCTTCCACAGTTGGGTTCAATTCTGGGGCAAAAAAAAAAAGGGCTGGGGACTCTGTTCTACACTTACAGTGAGGTCTCAGGGAAGTCACAGCTTTTCTGCGCTTCCATCCCATAATGCAGACATGACAATTGCACCACCTGCTTCACTAATTCGTGAGAACCAGATGTGATCATATGTGTTCAAGTACTTGGTAAAAACCTTAAAGTCAAACAAAACGTGTTATTGCTCACACAATCTTCAGGACTTGCAGTTTCACTGAATAATTTTAATTTCAAAACTACATCAGAAAACAAAGGGCTGAGTGCAAAGTTCCACTGCTTAGGAGCTCAGAATTGGAGCAGAAAAATTGACTCTGCTGTGCCCACTGCTGCCCAAGGGAAGAGGCACTGGTGGGAACACGAAGCACTCATGCCAAGTTAGGGTCTGTCAGAGGCCCAGCGTTCAAGGTGACGGGGAGACTGAAACCATCATGAACGTCAGCAGAAACAAAAATTACAGCCATCCTCAATAAACCTTTTGGGTTCCCTGATTTATGCTTCAAGCCAAGTAAAGAAAAGCTGACAGCATTTCACTTCCCCTTTGACAAGACAAACCCAACAAAACCATTTCATTTAAAGGCTTTTTATTAGGAACCAGGGGAATGTGCTGCTTAGCCCTCTATAACAGTCTAGAGCGGGTCACCAGGCCCATGATGGAGATTGACAGAAGTGCTGAGGGGTGCTCTGCTGCACTTGCCCAAGGCCTGGGAGGAGAGGTGGTGAGGCAACAAGGCTGGCGGGAACTGGTGTTAGCCACAACACTGAGAGCCCAGGGAGAGCCCTCTCCCTTCCTCCCAACTCCACTCAAGGCTGGAGTGTGCCAGGAGGGAGAACACGGCTGGAGGGGGCAGGCCGCAGCGGTGCTGTCTACCCCTGGCTGCACACAGCGCTCCTTCACTTGCCGGCTCTCCACTCTTCTTGCCGTTTTGTGATCAGGTATTTGAAGAACTCATACACAGACCATGCGATGGCCGTGGAGGGGATCTGGTAAATTACTCGTGCCTGCACTCCTCGGAAGTATGCGGTCACCCCGCCTACTTGATATACCGTCCTGAAGGCACTAGCCATGCCTGTGATGTGTCCTGTAATGTTTGAGTTCAAAGCCAGGGATTCCTGGGTGTTGAGCAGTGTTTTGCAAACGTCCAGTGGGGTTGTGGCAGCGGCAGCTACAGCTCCTGCACAGGCTCCGGAAAGGACATGGGAGCTGGGGTTGTACCGTCTCTGGGGGTTAAAGTGCTCCTGCAGGAATTCATAGGTCATGAAGTGGATGGCTTGGAAGGGAACGTTCATGGCTAGCTGGGTGGTATAGCTGCGGTAAAAGGCTCCAGCCCCTTCATTTTGCCACACTGCCCGTACACAGTCTGTCACCCGGTGGTATGGTGAGTTGTACATCTGCATCCTCTGCTTGACCACTGGGAGTGCCATCAACAAGGAGGAAAATGGAGACAGCAAACAGCCGGTGACCGAGAGTATCCAGATTCAGGGTCCCGAATCAGCAGATCAGCCAATGAAATGGAGAGAGAAGACAGTATAAATGAACTAACTACCAGTTAACAGGATAAGTTTATGTTTCCCTCTTGAGGCCAGGAGGTAGGCAAAGCCTTGGCAAAGGGTCAAAAAATAATGGGCCCACTCCCAGCAGGATTTCTTTAAAACCAACCAGTTAGAACGCAAGATATATCTATGGCTTAATACCTCTAGTGGGTCTCCTTGGAATGGGTACGTATCTATCAGAATCTTGACCTTTCACAAGTCTAGCAAGGAGCGACTCAGTGGCAGTGATGTAATGATGAACACAGAACACCAACAATCCTAATCCTCAGGTATGAGAAGCACCTTACTCTTTAAACATGAGGATGGTTACTCTCCCTGAGGGGAGGAAGGAAAAGTACTACCAAAAAGAAAACAAGATTCTTAGCCAAAAAGAGTCAGGATTTCGTTTCCAGACATCTTCTACTTCCTCAAGCGGACAACATGGTTGAGTTCTGTCAGTCTCCAGCTTAGGTTTGGCCCTTACCCACGCATGGCCTTGCCCAGTCAAAGAACTAGAACGATGCTATCCTCTCTTATTTGTCTGACTATCTCTTGCTCTCAGTGCACAGTTTTTGGAGAATTTCCCTCCAACGGAGAGGCCAAGAGCCAGGTAGAAATGCAGAGACTGAGCTCTACAATTTAATCTTTCATTCCTATCTCAACTATGTTCTTCCTTCCAAGAAGAAAGGTAAGAATTTTAAATGTCAGAATCCATCTTCACCTCTTTGAAGAAAAATTAAATAATCTGCTAAACTTTCAGAAGAGATCAAATTTACTACAAAAGGGACTTCCAGAAAAGCCCAGGGATAAGCGGATAGAGGTATTTCTTTTGCAGGGAAGCCCCAAAGATGGATTAAATCCCAATGAATGTTTCCTGTCTGAGGGGTTCCTCTAGAGGACTAAACATATGGAGTTAGCGCCCTCTGGTGGTAAAATAAAGTAACATGGGAGGACTTCTCACAAAAATTGAAATGCTCTCTTGCTTTTTTCTGCAAACAGAAATAAAGGAAAAACCCAGACAGGCAGCTGCAGCTACCCAGAGAGATAGGTTGAGGAATCATTACCTTCCACCGGATTCATGGCTGCATCATGAAGTAATGTTGCCACACACCCGGCTGCACCTGCAAATTAGAGAACAACTGCCACATTTAAGGCCAGGAGAGGCTGACCAATTCACTGAGGCCCAAGTGAAGGCGAGTGGCTGTGCTAAAGCAGTGAGGAAAGGGAATGTTAGGAGCCAGTCCAAGAGGGCACCCGCTGCTCCTAAACTTCAGCTTCAACAAAGATATTTGTTCTCACAAACTTAGGAAAGGTCATCAATGTACATTCCACATCTATCTCAGAAGAGGCAAAACCAGCCCAGTTTTTATCAATACAGATGGTCCTAAGAAAAACCTCAGCTTATGCCCCAGCTAGGAAGCAAACCCTCTGCTGCCAAGGGATGCCAGTATATTGACTGCCACCAGTGCAGGGAGAATGTGGTGCCAGGTGGTCAGATCTTCACCACAGAATCCTGCCTTCCATCCTGCTGCCCCTGTGCTGCTCGCCATCTCCAGATCCCAACATTTGTCCATCCAGACCCTTCTTTCATTCCTGAACTACTATATCCCCTACCCTCTCCCCACTCAACTTGGTTTTCAGACAATCTTGAAACCCTGGGCTATTATCTCTTCCTTTAATTCCACCCAACCTCCAACCTTCTGGATTCTCCACAGACCCTTGGCCCTTCCCCCCTTCATTTGTCAAGGCTGTGCCTGTGGTCAACTGGGATCCTGAAAAGGTGAGGCGAAGAGCTGGGGCTCCGTTAGTGTCTTCCTTGGGTAGCTGGGTCACCTCCACCTCCAATCCCGTCCTGAGGAGCAATATACCACCCAACTATCAAGAAGTATACAGTAGGGGTAGTTCAGTGTGTGTCTCCATACCAGGCATTAGAAGTTGATGCCAGGGAGAAGATGAGGAAAAAGTCAAGCTGGTAGGTAAGGGAGGATGCTGTAACCCTTTGTTGAGGTGCCCCAGAGGAGGGGTGGGGTTGCAGCAGCCCGTTGTCTGAGAACATCAGGTTTAGAAGTCCCTCCCCTATAAACTGGCCTACCCCAGCCCAAAGCTGCAGCTCCAAACCAAGCTGATTCTGGAAAGCACTGAAGCGGCAAAGTGCAAAGAGTTGGGAAAATGGGGGAACTGGCACATGAAGGCTCAATACCATTGGCAATATGGCTATTGCCCCCTGGGTGGATTATATCACTCAATGTCTTTTTCAACTTTTCGTAGCAGGCAAAATAGAGGGCGTGAGCAGGGCCTGCGCCTGTTGCTGTGACGTTCAGCCCCCGCATGGGCCTCCAGAGGCCCTCCGTTCTTATAATCCTCCTGAGGGCCTCCAACACATTTCGATAACGGGCAGCTGGGTCAGGCTGTAGACTCTGCATCCGGGTCTGAAATTACAGCAAGGAGAAGTGCAATGTCAGCAAGGCCAATATCCTGCCCCACATCAATACCCAGGCTTTGGGCACTGAACTGGTCTTCTACAGGCAACCATGCCAATTTGTGGAGGCAATACATAGCTCCCTGCTTTACTTCTTTCCAAATCTGTGTCCCATCTCTCCAAGTCTTGAACCTTTCCTCTTCTAGTCATTGATGACCCCAAGAGTGGAACATCATGGCTTTCCCCAAGGACATGGCCACTTGGTAATTACCCAGAACTCCAAGGTGATTCATTGCCCCAGCAATAAATATCAAGCCTCTGATTCAGAAGTTGTTTTTGTGCCTTAATAAATTCAGGCTAACAGTTTTACAAATGAATTCTAAATTCAAGTATTTACTGCATTTATTTCTAAAGACCTATCCTGGCGCTGCTTATTGACCCCAACACACTGATTAATGAGATGGGTGCTCATCTTTTGATACCTTTTCAGACTATTTGGCATGGGCAACTGGGTGTAGAAGTTAGTCTTGGCAGAATGAGCATTCCTAACAGAGGCTGCTGCAACTCCCTGGGAAAGAGTTTGCCCTGAAACTATGAAAGTGGGGAGAGTCTAGCTGGACGCCAACCTAAGTCTCTAAAACTCAAGAGTCTTTCAGATTTCTCATCTAAATTGACTGAATCCCCAAATCGGCATCAGCAAATACAAATCAGTTTCTGTGACACAATCGTTGGAATTTCTAAAAAGATTCAATGATTGGAATGAAAAGTGTATTATAAACACTTGCATAATGTTCTTGGACAGTTTTATTGAAATTTGGGTAATTAATCTCATCTGAAACACTCCCTCAAATCAGACCTTCTCTGAATTGTGTGCCTTCCCACAAAAATTTCTTTTGTCTATGAACCATTTCAGGTTAAAGTAGCACAGAGACTAACAGTTTAAAATCAGTCTAGCTGAGTATGGTGGCACATGTATGTAACTCAGAAGGCTGAGGCAGGAGGATCCAAGTTCAATGCTAGCCTGGGCAACTTAGTGAGATCCTGTCTGAAAATTAAAAGAAAAAAAAAATTAAAAAGGTTAAGAATATAACTGAGTGGTTGGTAATATACCTCTGGGTTCAATTCCCAGTACCTCAAAATAAGTTAATAAAATTAATATCTAGTGCCTGACATACAGAATGCACTTATGATTTGTTTGCTGAATGAATGAATCTTTTGTCACATAGCCATGTCTGCACCAGGTCAGAAAGTAATGAGTATAGCCACTGGTGAACCAACAATGGGTAACTGATGTCCAAGTACAATTTAAAATCTTGCTTCATTCCAATCACTAGATTCAGTCTGGATTTAAAAGCTTGAAGTTTCCTGTTGGTCATCTGGAATCCAAGAGTAATGCCTTTTCTCAAGAGCATGGGAAAAAGAAATTAACCAGATTAACAGGTCCTGGTTAGCCACAAGTAAACCACATTCCTGGAGTTATTTTTTCCTGCCTCCTGTCTTCACCACCACCAACAAAACAAATAACCAAAAACACTTCACACTTCAAAGGTTAGGGCTGGGAGTGTGGCTCAGTGATAAAGTGCTTGCCTAGCATGTGTGGGGCACTGGGTAAAATTCTCAGTACCACATATAAAGTAATAAATAAAGGTCTATCAACAACTAAAAATATTTTTTTAAAAAGGCTAATTACTGGTGTTCAATCAGAAATACAGATATCACAAAGGACACATTCTTTCCCACTTCCCCAAAAGACCCCATGAATCTACAATAAAGGGTTGCTTTAATCAAAGGGTATGTTTTAAAATTGGCCTGGCAGCTTAACAATTATGTGTTTCCAAAAATTTGTGTAAAACTGACCTTGTACAGGAGAGACATTTAGAAATCACATTGCTCTGCTTCAGTCATTGGCTTATTTGGCAGCCAGTCCTGAAAGGTCTGATCTCAGAAACCTGGAACTCTTTACCCCC